GGCTAAATCAAAAACAGGTTCTGCCAAATTATTCTATTAATTGCAAGCATGTAATATTTACAACTGATATACTTTTCTAAATTTGTATTGATAAATAAACACAATTTCTATATTTTAGTCTAGTCTTATTATCTTCCTAATTAACTAATTACATTTCAAATGACAAAAATGCAACTTTGACGACATTTCCCATAAATGGAAAATGTAGTTATTTAAACTACATATTATTAAGCCCATGAGTATTAAATAATTATGGAAACTAGATTATGTTATCCTACACATTTTCCTATTTTTATTATTAGATGTTTGTCTTAGATTGTAATTAGCAAGTAGACGAAAATAATCGGTGTTATTTTTTTAAATCAAAATATATAATTTTATAAAAAATATGTTTAGAAGATGGCGGTATATTAAATTTGCCACTCGGTTTGTGACACTTAGAAATATTCGTCTTAGAGCCACAAAATATTTATGTTCTATATATTCATAAAATTTGAAATCGATTTATAGATGTTCGTTTATCTATTCCACCATATGGGATGAATTTGGAAATTTTCAAAAAAAAAAAAACAAATTTGTGAAAAATTCTATTAAAATCTTAAAAATACCGAATATAGAAAGGCAACTTTTTTCATAGACTGTAGTACCCATTACGAAGTGCAAATACGAAATTTAAAACACTTCCGTAGAAAATGTAGTTAAAATCATCAAAATACCAAATATAGGGAGGCACCGATATTCGGGGGCTATACCAAGACCTGGACCTGCATAGACAATTTTCTGTTAAAGGCTGTAGCAACTATTAGGAACTTCAAAAACGATAATTGAAACAATTCCAGTGGATAATGTCGCTGACATCAACAAAATACCGAATATAGGGAGTTACTGTTATTTTGGGGGCTACACGAAGATGTGGACCTGCATAGGTAATTTTCCGTCACAGGCTGTAGTGCCCATTACGAAGTGCAAATACGGAATTTGAAACAATTCCCGAGAATAATGTTGCTAGAATCATCATTATTCATCATTATCATCATTAAGAATTTCAAATACGATATTTGAAACGATTCCGGTGAATAATGTCGTTGAAATCAGAAAAATACCGAATATAGGGAGGTACAGTTATATGGGGGCTATACGAAAACCCTGACCTGCATAGACAATTTTCTGTCATTAATTGTAATTCCCATTAGGAACTTCAAATACAATATTTGAAACAATTTCGTTGAATAATGTCACAAAAATCATCAAAATGCCGAACATAGGAAGATATAGTTATATGAATCCTAAACCCAAACGTGAACTTATATACCCCAAAAGTCCTGCAGACGAAACACAAACTTGAGTAACATTTTATCAACCTACTTCAATTCGTTCAGAACTTTAGATAACGTCAGCTCTGGATTTTTTGATTTGCTCGATTTAACTTGCCAGTGAAAAATACTCTCTAGCGGGAGCACTCGAAGACCATGAGTTTTACAATAAGTTTACTCTCTATTTCTTGTGGAAGAGCATTTATTCAAATAGTTTTATTTTTAATTTTTCGCTGATTTGTATGTGTGCTGTAGCAATTCGCTTTTGATATTGCTTTATACTGGAAGGTGGAGGATTTGGTACAAAAGTTATGAAGAGAAAACACCAAATACAAACAAGCACAATATAAAAGCTAGCTCGGTTTCGATCGTATATTTATGAGCAACAACAACAACAACACCAGCATATGTTTTGTTGGTACAGATTGGTTGCAATTCTCTTCAGCGTATTTGTTTTTGTTTCGTTTGCAGGTGAGAGTGGAGAGCATTGGAGCTATGATGAATGATGAAAATAGAGCATAATCCATTCTATTGTTTACTACTCGCAACAATACTCCCGCTCGAATTCGAGCGAGCACATTATAATAGCTAGCTCGGTTTCGACCGTATATATATGAGCAACATCATATGTTTTGTTGGTACAGATTGGCGGCAATTCTCTTCAGCGTATTTGTTTTTGTTTCGTTTGCAGGTGTGCGATGCATTCGAGCGATAATAAATGATGAAAATAGAGCATAATCCACTCTTTTGTTTACTACTCGCAACAATACTCCCGCTCGAATTCGAGCAAGTTTCACTCTACTTGAATTCGAGCGAGCATTTCCGACTGCTGCCTTTTAAACGTATTTTGAAACAAAGTGCAAAACATTTTCAAAATAGGTCCCCTATTTGGTATAGGCCCTATATTGCGATTCCTCCCGATATTAAATATTTCCACAATCTCCAGCTGAATTATTATGAAAAATTGTTAATATTAATCCACATTTTGACATAAGCTTAATGTTGGAGAAACTACCTATTTTAGAGGATCTTAAGGACCTATTTTTCCTATATATGGATATTTTGAAGATTATGACCCTATCTTTTAACAGAATGAACTACAATTCCGTATTTTTATGGGTGAAATCAATATTTTCGACCAAGTTCCGTTCGCTAGAAATACATTGCATGTTTTGCAGTCGGGCAATTTCTGTTTAAGTTTTTTAAGTTTCTGGTCCCTTAGCCTTGTACGGGATTAATGATTTGTTTTTATACCCTACAACACTATGTGTTGGGGGTATTATAAGTTTGATTGGACCAAAAATTATGTAACACCTCGAAATATTGGTTTCCCACATAGGAAAGTATATATGGATGTTCCTATCTCGCCGAGATGAGTCGATCTAGCTATATATGTCCGTCTGTCCATGTTAATTTGTAATCACTCTACAGGTCGTAATTATGACCCGATCTTCACGAAATTGAAAATGGAGGTGGGGATGGGGCCAGAATAGAAGCCTATTGCTTTTGGAGATGATCGCATAATATTTAGGGGTTGAAATGGACCAAAAACAGAAAAAAAAATCCTGATCACACAATTGAAGCCAATCGACACGCCAGAGACGAGAGTTAAGAACAGGGAAGAATTCTAGCATTTTGAATAACTATTTGATTATATTTAGCTGTAAAATGAACAACAACAGCTAACTGCACGACGAAGTACGTAAATATTGGGCAAATATTTTCAATTTAACATTGTTATACATTATATATTTTTATTTTGTGTTAAATATTTGGACGTAGATGTTGATATTATGCACCAAATAAATATAGATGCAACCAATTAATTAGCACGTCTGAAGGCGTTAGTTTGTCCGAGTTTAACCGAATTTAACTAACAATTTAATACCGTTTAAACATTTGACCATTTAGGGAATTTCCTTTTTTTCTCCAAAAACCGTCGTCTGTTTTCTACCACAATTATTGAGTGTTGATGGCCCGTCTGTTGGTTTGTGTTAAAATTGACAAATTCCCCCCAAAAACACACAAATGTTTTAAATTCATATTTGTCGTTTGAAATACAAATCGCTGGTGTTGCAATACGCCTAGACATTGAGACAAAACAACACAACCGATCTTGGGCATAAAAGGAAATTTCATCTCGACAATAAAATCTGATTTTATTTTGAATTTTTTTTTGCAAAGTTTTCAAATTTATATGTAGGTGGATAATAAGAGCTGCTGCTGTTGTTGGTGTGTTGCTGGCAGGCGGTGTGGAATTTAACAAGCTTTAATGCCGTAGTTTACAGGCAATTATCAGTTAGAAGTGGTCGTTGGTGCTAGTAACTAGTTCTAGGTGTGTAATGTAGGGGAGTGTTCAACAACAACAAAGTCAAACGCCACAATTTTTACATTTTTTGTTTTAAATTTTATTGAATGAAAGCAAAAAATGTCGCAAAATAGCATCAACTTTTGGAATAAGTTAAGATTTGTTCGAATCGGTCACCTTTGGCACGAGATATGGCCTTCAAACGCCCAATGAAACCGTCACCCGCTGCCCGAATGTTGCGCTGCGGTATTTTGGCCCATTCCCGGCGAAGTGCTTGTTTGAGGTAATCGACACTTTGGTATTTTTTAGTGCCAACCTTGCTTTTAAAAATACTCCACACACAAAAGTCCAACGGATTAGTATTCTGAGATTTTGAAGGTCATTGTGCCTTGTAAATAAAGCGAAGAACCTAGTTTTGTAAACATTCTTGTATGGCGCATGTTGAGTGCGATTGTGCTGAGTCCTGCTGGAATGTCCAAAGTCAGCGACCAAAATGTTTGTGCCCAAGGCTTTAATACACCCTCTAGAATATTTCGGCGTTTATTCGAGCGGACAGTGACAATCGGCTGGTATGTCGGCCCACACCATCACCATAGCCGGCGCTTGAGTTCCGGTGGCCAACCGAAGGCTAAAATTTTCAGCTGACCTCTTTGGCAAGTAAACACGATAATTTTGTTTGTTTACAAACTGCTGGACAACGAATATTTTCTCATCGGAGAAAACCAAGTTCGGGAGTTCACCACTTTCGGCCAAGCGAAGCAACTCTTTAGCTCTTTTGAGTCTATTTTCTTTCTGTTGCGGTGTAAGTTCTTGCACTTTTTGGAATTTCAATGGCTTTACCCTGAGCTCATTTTTCAATATTTGCCGAATGGAATATTGCGATATGTTCAACTCACAAGCCATTTTTGGTCACTGCGATGTGGGTTTCGATCAAATTTTTCAAATGTTTTCTTCCGTCCATTTTTTGACGGCGGGCTACGCTACTAGTATGACGGTAACGAGCGATGGTACGAGACACGAAAGATTTATTCACATTTAAATGCTGGAGTGTTCTAACGATAGCCACTTGTAGTTTTCCAGCCATTACGAATAACTTTTTTTTTTCTGGAAAATTCTCAACAAAATGCTTTTGTACGCTTGTAAACATTATAATGAGCTGTCCCTGAAATAATTATAACAGCTGCCCGACAAGTGGCAGTCTGAAGTTGGTTGCAGTTTTTTCATCAATATATATTCTATAGATTCTGTGATACTCGGTTTGTAGATCAAAACTCCAAAAGAGATTTAGCTTCTTACACAAGACATTTATATGCTAAAATAAACGTAATAAACCCACTATTTGTTAAAAAGATGTTTTACTTTGTGAAATAAATTACAAATTAAATTCTGCATTCTGCTTTTATTAATGAAACATAAAAGAAATATTCGTTTACAAATCCCAAATATCAAAAGTTAAACATTCTCCCGTCTCGTTGCGACCAAAAAATGGATTCGCCATTTTTGTACCATTGGGATCAATCATCGATGCAGGAATAATGAGAACTTCCTCACAGTATCCTTCACAGTCGGGATTTTCATCCACCGTCTCATTAAGGCAGAGATCAATAAGATTGGCGGCACTCCGGATATTGGAAATGGTACTGTTTTGAACTGAAAAGCTGCATTCATGGGCTTGCTTTACATAAACATTAGCTGAGCCTTTAGCCAGTTCCAATTGGGCGGAGAATGTCCTTTGGTTATCCACGGTATAGACATTTGAAGCAGACACCTTAAAGAAAAAAATGGGGTGTGTTTAATTTCGTATAAAGTTTCAAATTATTTTTCCCATAACTCACCACATCAGCCAAACACTGGACATAATTAAGGGGGTTGGATGCATTGAATTTGCTACGGCAATTGGTAACACCTTTTTCAAAGGTGCCGACATAATAGGTGCTTAAAGTCTGATTGGTGGAGACCATAGAGTTGATCAACGAATTTAGTTGCCCTCGACCCGTAAGCATGCAACGTTCCACTTCACTTTCGGCTGCTGTCTCGGATGGTATCAAGTTTTTATATTTCTCAACACATTCTCGACTAAAATCACTCAACACTGTAAGGGGCATTAACATTTCATTGGCTCGCGAAATTTCCCCCACAAGTAATTTTTGCTGAACGCCAATTGCATTTATGCGATTTAAATAGACGTCTCGAAACGATTCAATTTGTAGCGAATAATACCAAATGTGAAAATCATTTTGTTGTCTCACAACTTCGATATATTCATCGTTACGTATAAATGAACTATTTTGAGTGTTATAGTAATTTATTAGACCAGTCTGGAAATATAAATTGAGATTTGAGTAATACCTTCGGCGGATGAGGACAATATTCAACTAACATTTTGTTGAGCTTTTGCGGCGACCAATATTATCGTAAATGTAAAAATTATTTTTAGGAACATTTTTTGCTTTGTTTCGCACTTTCATTTGAATTGCCACTAACTGTTCTTTAAATGTAGCATTGCACTGAATTTTATATCTAATAATTAAATTTTATTGAGCCTCTCATCAACTTTAAGTACTTTTTGTTTTTGTAACTTGTTAATTTTTGTAATTTTCTTTTCTACCGCTATAAACTTTTTTACTTGGAAAAGTTGTTTAATAAAATAAATATTATTTTTCTTTTCTCAATATTAGTCACCGGACACCGTACTTCTTCATACCATCAACGGACTACAACTGTAAACATTTGGTTTAATTTGTTTGCTTCCAATGCGGGGAGTTTTTCACATTTGACAAACTGATATGGGGTTCTTATCAACAAGAGATAATATAATTTCGCATAAATGTTTATAATTTTCAAACATAGAGGCTATTTTGATTAGAATTAAAATTTATTATTTTCATAAGATTGTTTTGCATTTTGGAAAACACCATTGCAAAAATGTTTATCAAACAATTTATAGATATATCAAAATAAAATTTTAAGCGCCAGTTGGCAAGTCTTTAAAAAAATTCAAAAATATTCGAAAATAATTAAATAATCACAAGAACATTTATACATCGGCCAACACAAAGCTGAAAACAATCCTGAATGTATGAATTCAGAAAGAAAACAGTTGTTGTATTCTTTAAATACACAGAAAACAAGATAAAAAACTGCAACAAAGTAAAAACGCCATGAATTTTACATTTGTTGTTAAATTTTATTGAATTAAAGCATAAAATGTCGGAATAAAAGCATAAAATGTCGGAAATAGCATCAAATTTTAGAATAAGTTTAGATTTGTTCGAATTGGTCACCTGTGGCATGAATTATGGCCTTCAAACGGCCAACGAAAACGTCACACGCTGCCCGAATGTTGCGCTGCGGTATTTTGGTCCATTCCCGGCGAAGCGCTTGCTTGATGTGATTGACACTTTGGTATTTTTTAATGTCAACTTTGTTTTCCAAAATACTCCAGACACAATTGTCCAACGGATTGGTTTTCGGCGATTTTGGTGGCCAATGTGCTCTGGAAATGAAGCGATCAACCATTCTTGAGTGGCGCGTGCTGAGTGCGATCATGCTGCGTCCTGTTGGAATGTCCAAGGTCTGCGGCGATAATATTCGTCATTAATACGAGCGGAGAGCGACCATCGGCTGTAATGGCGGCCCAAACCATCACCATGACCGGCGCTTGAGTTCTGGTGGCCAACCGAAGATCACATTTTTAGCTGACCTCTTTGTTTGTTTACAAACTGCTGGAAACGAATGTTTTCTCATTGGTGAAAACCAAAGTCGTCAGTTCACCAATTTCGGCCAAGCGAAGTAATTTTATTTCTGTTGCGGTGTAAGTTCTTGCATTTTTGGTATTTGAATGGCTTACCCCGAACTCATTTATCAATATTTGTCGAATGGAATATTGCGGTATGTCCAACTGACGGTCACTGCGACGCGAGTTTCAATCAAGTCGCTTCTTTACATTTCGAACCATTTCTGCTGATGTTTCTGTTTTGTTCCGTACACTTCCTTCACGTGGGGCTACACTACCAGTATCACGATAACGAGCGATGGTACGAGAGCAAAAGACACTTGTGGTTTTCCAGCAAAATATAAAGAAATCACACTATCACGCTTGAATTCCATCTCGAATAACTTTGTTACTGGAATATTCTCAATAAAATGCTTTTGTACGCTTATAAACTATATAATGAGGTGTCACTAGAATAATTTTAACAGTTGTCGGTAGAATGGCTTAGAAATGACAGCAGTCTAAAGTTGGTTGCAGCTTTTTTTTTTTAATGTCGAATTTAGTGAAAATTGATGTTTTTGTTTTCTTCCGTCCACTTCCTTGACGTGGGGCTAAACTACCAGTATCACTGTAACGAGCGATGGTACGAGACACAACAGATTTATTCACATTTGAATGCTGGAGTGCTCTAACGATAGCCACTTGCGATTTTCCAGCAAAATATAAAGAAATCACACTATAACGCTTGAATTTCATCACCAATAACTTTGTTACGGTAATATTCTCACCAAAATGATTTTGTATATTTTTGGAATAATTTTAACAGCTGTCGGACGAATGGCTTAGAAATGACAATACTGAATTTATATATATATATGAGAGCTATAGCTATATCTTACCAAATTTTCACTAAATTCGACATATTTGTCTATACGCTAAATTCAGTAGTATTTGCCAACATACACATATACAGGGTGAGACGAAAAAAACTGCAACCAACTTTAGACTGCTGTCATTTCTAAGGCATACGTCCGACAGCTGTTAAAATTATTCCAGTGACAGCTCATTTTATACTGTAGTTTAGCGTATATAGTTTAGTTTAGCATATATATATATATATCATATACATCCCAAAAACTTATTTTGGATACAGCCCCTTTTTACATTCTAGTCTTATTTGAAGTAAGTTGTGCATCAAATGTGTAATATCAGCCGATGTCAATGTCAAATTTGGCGCAAAAATAAATTCAGGTATATGTGCTTCAACGCTTTCCCAAGTGGAAATTAAGAACAAAGTATAGCCACCATATGTTGATTCTATCCTATTTCAAATTTATAGCACTTAAAATCAATAACACGCAGTCAATAAGCACCACATAAATTCCCAATAAAAACTTTGATTTGTTACATTTAGCTCTACAAGATATGCATAGTGCTATAGGATACTATAAAGACGGACCGCCCGACTTTTTTTCTGTTCTGTACTGGTTTATGTTACAATTTTTCGTTTCCATTTTTGACCGTTAAATTTAAATATTTCGAAATTGAGTCTAAATCTAGCAAAAAACCTCACAACAAAACATTCAAATATATTTTATTATAATCTCTGAGCAAAAGAAATCTGTAACTACGGAATAGAGCATCTCTAATTGCTCTTGATTTTATGTTTAAAGTGTTATGGAATAAATAAAAATAAATATTTAAATATATATTTCTCATTGTTTCGTTGATATTTTCCAACTTCTTCAGCAGTATTTATTAGATAATTCTGAGGACTTTAAAAATATAAATCACTTTGGGTTTTTATAATATTCATTAAGAAAAGATCCTAAAGTTTCCCTTTGACGAATTGAATTTGTTTTGCAGAAACATAACTCAACAAGTAAAAAAGCAGCAAGGTTCAGCCGGCATGCCGAACTTTTTATACCCTCCACCATTTTGAAGAAACTTGAAAAATTCCGTCGGAAAATACCGCTCAAATGAATACCATTATTTGGGTGCTATACGAAGACGTGGTCCTGCATAAGTAATTTGTCTCATAGGCTGTAGTAACTGTTTCGAACTTTATATACGAAATTTGAAACAATTCCGATGAATAACATCGAAAAAATCATCAAAATACCGAATATCGAGAGAAACCGTTATGTAGGGGATTTATGATATAGTGGACCCATATAGACAATTCACTTCCAGGGAGTAATGTACTCACAAGAAACTCCTTTTGTGAATTTAAAGGCAATTCTATTGAAAATTTTGGCTTAAATCATCAAAATACCGAATATGGGGGGAATATCGTTATATGGGGGCTATACGATATCGTGGACCGATATAGATAATTCTCTTCCAGGGGATAAAGTACTCACAAAGAACTCCTTGTGTAGAATTTCAGAAAATTACATTGAAAATGTTGCTAAAATCATCAAAATACCGAATATGGGGGCTATAAGATATCGTGGAACGATAAGCCATCTTCGAACTTGACCTGCCTGCAGACAAAAGACAGATCTATGCAAAATTTTAGCTTCCTATATTAATTAGTTTTGACTGTAGTGTGATTACAACAGACGGACGGTCGGACAGGGCTAAATTGTTTTAGAATTTTACGCTGATCAGGAATATATGTATATCAATCTACAATTATTATTTCGATGGCTTACAAACGAAATGACGAACTTAATATACCCTCCATACTAAGTATGTTGGAGGTTATACAAATTTTTAAATTGGGTGGACTACTTTGTAATATGTTCGGTTTTTTCCTGTGGCTTTCTATGACTTCCCTGATACTTTTAATAGAAGTATTTGTCTGATATGAGAACACCTTATAATCATATTAGAGACCTTAAAGTCTTACGTATAATTGTTGAATGTTATGATGGTGTTGCCACAAGGAGAACAGTTTAGACTATGTCGAGTACTCCCGACCGACATGTGTCATCTTCGAACTCGACATGAGATTGATAAAAAGTTTAATAAAGTTCAATAAAACCAAATCAAGACAATCAAGTCGAACGGTGTCGCTCTACCGACTTCATATTTTCTGCAACAAATTCCTTCCAAAGGGTTCTTTTTATGGCCTTTAAACCCAAACGAAACTATTTTCGAATAATTAATTCTATTCATAGTCTAGATTCTTGCATTTAAAAGACTTAAATTATCAAATAATTAAGCTTTTGAAAGTTTTTTTAAAATATTAAAAAATATATTAAAATATTCAAGAAAGAATATTCATGACGTAAGAAGTAACACGACTCCAGACGCCACTCTTCGTACAAGCTGGTATTGTTCCAACAGCACCAGACAATTTGCGCCAAGAACACAATACAGACCATCAGAAAAAAAAAACAAATCAAAGCTCACAATGCTGAAATCAAAACAATCAAAGCTGCGGAGGTGAGCAGTAACAGCAGCAGCAGTAACGCTCATATAACGTCATCGTTATATATTTTGCTATAACGTTAATATATTATTAATTTATTTTGTTTGTTTGATGTTTACAGCAAAAAAAGTGGTTAAGCCACTATTCCGCCGGTTTTAAGTAAGGAAACAAAAGCACGAAAGAAAGCAGCAGAAAAAACAGACGCCTAATTATATTTTTATTTTATATGCCAAGCTCCGACGTTTCAAAATTGTCAGTATAGCTTAGATGTTCAAAGTGATCGGTTCGTAGTGAAGAGAAAAAAAAATAATAAAAACAAAAATTTAAATAAATTTCAAAAAAAAAAAATTGAAGTAGAATTTGAAATAAACAAAGAAAAAAGATGCCTTTGAAAAAGAAAGACGATTACATACCCATCAAGTGTGAGGGTTGGAATGGCAAGTTCGTGTATGGCCCTGGCACCACAAACAATGTCTCCAAAATTCGTCGCCACAATCAAAATGTAACGGATACCCAAAATTTCTATGGCTATTGCAACGAACCAATTATCTTGCCCACCGCCTGGGATGGCACCTTCAAGAAAAGTGATGAGGTGCGCATTCAACAGGAACGTAATCGTTCGGATGATTCCAAATATTTCCAATACAATACCGAACCCACAATCTTGCCCACATCGTGGAACGGGGAATTTGTCCAGGATCCCAACGATGTGCGCATCAAACCCGAACGCAACTTCTCCGATGTACGTGATTATGCCGAGGCCAATCGTTTTCGTGTTGTCAACTAAGTGAAAAAATTTTGAAAATTATCTCTTAAAAATGTAAAGGAGTTTATCCTAATGGAGTGAAAGGACTTGAATGGAATGTACGAATGGTCGTACTAAGCACCAGCTGTTTTTTTTTTCTTCTTTTTCTTCTACATCTCCCACTTAACTTTGGTTAACCTAACTCGTTTGTTATGGTTTTTGTTAACTTTTCTACTTCGTAGACAGATAGATCATCTCTAGTTTTAACAATCATGACGTAGTTTTAAGTGTCACTTTTATTTTGTTTATTTATGAAACCATTAAAAAATATATCTACACACCACACACAGACACACAATGATTACGTAATAAAAACACAAAAATGTTAAATAAAAAAAAATCAAAACAATTTATTTTTATTATTATTTGTCGTACATTGATTTCAAATCTATTTCACATTCATTCGCAATTATTGAGTGGGTTGACAACTTTTTATTGATCTATACCGTGGGTTATACTTTTATTTTTTGGAAGTGGGGTTGGGTGGCAATGAAGATTGTTTAATTAAAAGTGATATGTTTACGACATCTAAATTGGAATCTATATATATAAATGTAAGTTGTGTTAGTTACTACGCTTATAACTTAAGAACCGCTGGATTAATTTTAACGATTCACACAAATTCGGAGTTGTCTACTCTCCGAAAAGGATAATATCCAAAAAAATCGCGTAAAAATGTGATATATTAACATTTTCATTTTGACTTTTCAAATGTACAATAGTAATGTTTTATTGTGCATGATTTTTTTCCATTTTGACTTACTTTTTTCTAATGTACATTTGTAGTGTTTTTTTTATATTTTATTTTTGAATTCGAATATTTATACCAATTTATTTAATTGACTTGATTTCTTGAGAACTGAAATTGATGGCGGGTTACATGGAAGTGTAGTAGCGAATTATGTGGTGGCGAAACGGAATAGATGATATCGAAATAATTTAACGCGGTCACACCAAAGTTAAAAGATAATTACTTTTTCTAAATCGCTGAAAAATCATGAAAAAGAGATCTCATTGCAAAAATCAAAAAAACATTTTCAATGGAATCGAATTTTAAAGTAATAGTACATTCCATTGACAAACTTTGTAAGGAAGGATCTTAAAACATTTGCTGTAAAAAATCAGCGAAAAAGTTGAAGACTTTTTCAATTTGTTATTCTTTTTTTTGTCAATTTTTTTTGTGAACAAAATAAAGAATAATTTTTCACTAAAAAAATTGAATAAGTGCGAAATAGGATGTTAACTGACATCTACCTTTCAACTCCAGGGCCTACATCGTGAGTTAGCTGGAAGATGCGAACACGTTTAAACAAACAAAAATGACCGAAAAAGCTTAATGGGGCTCATTTCAAAGCGTGACAATGATCCGTCCAATGAGAGCTCAAAATGCAAAATTCTTTGGGAGAATAATAAGTAATATACCAATATTGAAATAAAATGTGCAAAATAGTAGAGCGAATGGGACTTTTAGTAAGAAAAGGTTTTATATCCTTCGAGAAATTCTTCCCAAACATTCAAAATACCTAAAATCACTTTTGCAGGTCTTTATATCGATCATAACTCATGGATAAGGGAACAACCCGATTTCATATTTATATAACCATCTATGATTTAAGTTATTTTTGGGGTCTTGGCCGGCCACTTTTTTCATTTTTTGGCCCTTATTTGACATTTTTGTTTCTAAGGGGGTAGATAACCTCTTCGCATAAAATTTGAAATTTTCAGAGTAGGGCCCATATTGGTATTGACCACATTCATCAATTGATTTGGCTAAAAAATTTTATTTATGCCACCCTGGGGTAGGGAACCATCATACAGATAATTGCCACATAGGAATTTATTTAAGTAAAGTCCCCACATTGGAGTATCCCCAAGTCCACTTTCACATCTAATGTGTGGTCAGAAAAGAAAATTTTGTATTATATTGAATTTTTAACCCCCAAGAGAATATTGGTTGGGAACGTAGATTTGGGATGTGCATCCATATGAAATAAATTGTGGAAACATGAACAAATTACAAATATAAGAAAGTAGCACGGGACCGAATATTTGTTTAATCATCATTGAATTATCCTATGATGAAAATATGGACTTTAAGGGGTCTCCAACTTACAATTTAAATGGCAAATAAAATTAATTCCCATCTTATCATTCTGCCCTCAATTATGAGGTGGATAAAACTATTTTTACTTATTTAAATCACGCGAAATGCTATGACATGCTATATTGTTCTGCTATATTTTTGATTTGGCCTCTATTTGTCATCTTGGATTATAAGGGGTAGAAGAAAGTTTTCAATGTAGGTCGATGTTTCGGAGTAGTGCCCATATAAAGAAGGTACCTCCTAATTTAACCACATTTCAAAGAATTTGGCTAATAATGCGTATTAGGGGGGTGAAAATCTTACACTAAAATTTCAACATATCTACAAATTTTAGAATTTTTATCCATGTTATAATACCCTCTCAAGTCCACCTTTTGGCGGACAAACAGACTGACATGGTTAGGGGGACTTATGAGGACTCTAATGCACAATCTAAGTTGCTAATGGGTTTAAAAAAGTAATTAACTTTGGCTATTCTTAAATCATTCAGCCCTCAATTATGTAGTATACAAAATACAGCAAATTCCAAATTACTGCTCATTTGACTTGAAGATTTTGCTACGATTTTTACCACATTAAAAATTAATTTGATCCCTTATATGGCGATAAGATTGATATATACTTTTTAATAGATTTGTATAGCACATCCACACAGTTGAAGCCCACGGTTTAAATATTGAAGCCCACTGGTTAAAAATGGGTACAGGTATTTTAAAACACTTTAAATCGACCTGTACGTGAACACTTATATCAGTCATATCTGTGAATAATTATGCTTGGGAATATATGCATAATAGACAAAAACTACGGGCCGGCAACGCGGACCGGGCCAGCTAGTACATTAATAAAAAAAATTAAAGAATTTTGTGAAGTTCCAAACAATACCGGTACCATAAAACTTAATGAATTTATAACTATTTGCGAATCAAAAGTGGTTATTCATGTGTCCGTCCCTGGGCAATGGTTTTAACTAGAACTGAGATTGTACCTGCCTCGAATAGTAAAATTGCGAATTTATTTTGGCGCAATCAAAAATGTTTTTTAAATCTACCTCTTTTCCACATTAAACTAAAAAAATTGCTGAATGACCATTCCGGGTTTAATCTGATTTCGCGGGATTTTTATACCCTCCACCATACTATGGAGGGTATATTAATTTTGTCATTCCGTTTGTAACTCCTCGAAATACTCATGTCAGACCCAACAAAGTATATATATTCTTGATCAACGTAAAATTCTAAGTCGATTTAGCGATGTCCGTCTGTCTGTCCGTCTGTCTGTCTGTTGTAATCACGCTATCTTTCGAACAAATTGAGATAGAAGGCTAAAATTTTGCACACATGTATATTTTGCCAGTAGGCAGGTTAAGTTCGTAAAAGGGCCATGTAGGTCCAAGTTATCATATAGCCCCCGTATAACGGTAACTCCCGATATTCGGCATTTTGATGATTTTAGCGACGTTGTTTACCGGAATCGTTTCAAATGTGGTATTTGAAGTTCGTAATGGATACTACATACTAAGTCAAAAAATGAGCCATGTAGGTCCACGTCTTCATATAGCCCCCATATACCGTATCCCCGATATTCGGTATTTTGATGATTTTAGCGACATTATTTACCGGGATTATTTCATATTTCGCATGTGAAGTTCGTAATGGATACTTCAGCCCATGCCAGAAAATTGTCTGTGCATGTCCACGTCTACGTGTAACCCCCATATAACGGTACCCCTCATATTCGGTATTTTGATGATTTTAGCTACATTATAAACAGATTTTTCTTCAAGTTTCGCATTTAAATATTGTAATAACTTATGACAAAAGTTGCCTATGCAGGTCTACGTCGTCGTATAGGCATTCGGTATTTTTAAGATTTTAACAGAATTTTTAACGGATTTTATTTTTTGGAAATTGCCAAATTTGTACCGAATGGTGGAGGGTATTAAAAGTTCGGCCCGGCCGAACTTGCAGCTATTTTACTTGTTTAGAAATGTTTTGGAATGATTGTTTGAGTTAGAATAGCGAATCTGTCTTATCATACCTATTTTGTAAAAACTAAATAAACAAAGAATTTTGAGTAGTGATCAAACTTAAAAAAAAAAATAGAATGAAAAAAGAATTATTTTTTATTTTAATATTTGTTTTTGATTGTCTAAGAAAAATATTTTTAATGACTATCTGAGCTCTGTAGTGCGATTAATATTTTTATAATCTCTACCATAGAATGGAGAGTATATTATGTTTGTCATTCCGTTTGTAACATCACGAAATATACATTTTAGACCCCATAAAGTATATATATTGTTGATCAGCATAATATCTATGTCGATTTAGCGATTTCCGTCCGTCTGTCCCTTTAAGTCTGCCGGACTTTTGCTATTGGAAATTGGCAATGAAGATCCACGTTTTAGTATAGCCCCCATATTATGGTACCTCCCTATTTTCGGTATTTTGGTGATTTAAGCGACATTATTTACCGGAAATGTTTCATATTTGGTGTTTGAAGTTCGTAATAGATACTGCAGCATAAAACAGAAAATGGGTCATATAGGTCCAAGTCTTCGTATAGCCCCCATATACCGTACCCCCCGATATTTGGTATGTTGATGATTTTAGCGACATTATTTACCGGGATTGTTTCAAATACGGCATATGAAGGTCGTAATGGATACTTCAGCCCATGCCAGAAAATTGTCTGTGCAGGTCCACGTCTTCGTATAGCCCCTATATAATGGTACCCCCCGATATTCGGTATTTTGATGATTTTAGCGACATTATTTAACGGAATCGTTCCAAATTTTGTATTTGAAGTTCGTAATGGATTCGTAATCCTAAGTCAAAAAATGAGCCATGTAGGTTCACGTCCTCATATAGCCCCCATATAACGGTAGCCCCCGATATTCGGTATTTTGATGATTTTAGCGACATTATTTAGCGAAATCGTTCCAAATTTGGTATTTGAAGTTCGTAATAGATACTGCAGCATAAAACAGAAAATTGGCCATATAGGTCCAAGTCTTCATATAGCCCCCATATACCGTACCCCCTGATATTTGGTATGTTGATGATTTTAGCGACATTATTTACCGGGATTGTTTCAAATACGGCATGTGAAGGTCGTAATGGATACTTCAGCCCATGCCAGAAAATTGTCTGTTACGTACGTTACGTACGTAACGTTACGTTTCGTTACGTTTTCATTTCTGTATTTGTTTTATTCTTCTTTGTTTTGTTTTTACATCTTAG